TTTAGTCAACTCACTTTGTCCTTTCAATAAAATAGATGTAAGTAAATTTTTTCATAAATAATTATAAATAAAAAGAACATAATAATTACCATCAAATTCTATATTGATATCTTCTATATTATAGAACATAAAATCCAAGATACACTTGATGACTTGATGTGTGTATGATCTTTCATTAAGATTAGGTGATTTTTGTTAATATAACAGCATTTTCCAAACCAATTTCAATTGTTAAAAAAGAACCTAGTGCGTTGTAAAATTTCTTATCATCATTCCGAAGATTTTTTATGGTTGCATATCTGTGCTTAATACATAAATCGATAAATTTCTTCTGGTAATTATCTAATTTAACTTCAAATATATCAGAATCATACGAATATAGTTTATTAATTCAATTATAATTCTTAATGATGTTAAAGATTGGTTTGTGCTATTTTTTTAATAAAACCCCATTAACAATGTTATCTGAGAGTAAATCTTCAGGAACAAGATTTGCGTTTTCTATGTTATCACAAATTAACTTTGAAGAAGTTGACATTTTAGGAAAGTATGTAGTAAGCTAACAAAAATAAAAAGAAGATACATTAGTTATGGATTAGCAATTGTCTAAAATATTACATCAATAACTATTTTGTAATATTATAGTTAATTTGAGCATAATATGTTTACCTTAGTAAATCTTTCTTTTATTTCAATACTGTTGAATTCTACAACTGACAAATCTTCAACCGATTCTGTAATATCACTATCATCATCAATCTCACTATCGACACCAATCTCAACACCATCATCATGAACATTTTGATCTTCAATATCAACAGCATTATAATTATCATCATTTTCATTATCATTGTTCATATCTTCTTCAATCTCTATCTGACATAAGAACTCAACATTTTTTTCTTTTGCGCATTCTTGAATATATGTCCAATATTTAGCATAAGAATTTTTTAAAGTTCCAATATATGAGTAAAATGCTTTTGACGTATTAAGAAATTTCACATCCTAAAAGTATGCAAACACATAAAAAATATTATTAGTTCATATTGTCTTATACCGTAAATAACTATTATTTTAAAAAATCTCAGAAGAAAAAAACTTTTTTGGTTTATAACATTATATTGACGCAAAGCCTCGATGAGGGTGGCCAATATAATACCAGAGAAGTAAATTTTACCTTTTTCTTTTTACATTAGTATATTACCAAAGCTTCGACGAAGGTGATAGATATACTTAATATATATGCTAGTCAGATATTTTATAAAAAATTTGATGCGCGCAATCAAAAAAAGCTATCATAATTTGTGAGGCCGTCATACAATAACTTTACAAAGACCAATCCTCCATCATTCCAGCAAATAAGTCATCCTCGATACACTTACTAAATCATTATTTAAAAAAAAAATAATACTTCCATTATAATTGTTCTTGAAAATAGCATTAATTCGCCTGCTTTCATTTCTTCCAAAAGTCAACTTCTTTCTCAAGGCTAAAAATATATAAAAATTATAAATATCTTGTTGCATCAAAGAGTCTTTCACTAATGCTTGGTATGACTCTAAAAGGTCTTTGAGTATCATTTTTAATTTTGATAATTGCGCAGTTTGAAGCGGATTTAGAATAGAGATTCCCAGACTAAAAAAAGATATCGATGTTGTATGTACTACTATGTTGACGCCCTGGAAATCATATGTGAGTAATTATGGCATTAAGGTAATACCGCATAAATTTAATGCAGGCCACTAATTATTAAAGCCAGTCAAGTTTTTATCGCCTATCGTTATTATAAAAATATTAAACTCAGTTTATACTCCGACGGCCTCTGGAAGCTGTCGGGAATACGGAATTTATCGTTATGCGATAACGATAAGTGTTCATTACTTTCTAATCTAACTCTTGGATCTTTCAATTGTGAACTTGGTTCACACTATCATCCACGCTATCATGTGTCACAAGATCATGGTCAATAAATGAGCAACGATAAAATTGATAAATAAGTGATTTGTGATTTTATTCTCTCTTTTTCAGCTTGAACAAACAGGAACTAGAATACGTATCCTGTTTCTTTTTTTTTTATTAAATTCTTTTTTTTTCGTTGATACTAACATTTTTTTTGTAGTTTTGAATTTTGCTTGAGTACAAATGGACATTGGCTGAAGACCGAGGCTTGAGCGAACGGATGACATAAGTATCCTGTTTCTTTTTTTTTCTTCATCGAATTTCTTTTCTTGTTGATACACTTTTTATTTGTAGGAACGAAATTTCCTTGAACGCGAAATGGGCGTTAATCACTAATTCAGAAAAGGAACATAGCATTCACGTGATAAATCCAGCCAATATTGTACGTACGTACGTACAGTAGCCAACAAAAGTAACGCCCGATTTTTGCTCAATATGGAAATTTTTTTATTAATAAAAAT